CTGTGAAGTCCCTTCTTTTATACTTTGGCTTCTCCCACCTTACATGTGCTGCTTCTATTAACTCTACAGTGTGTACTCACTTAATTGTATTCATCTAATTGTGGCTACAAGGGTCGATTAAAAGCTCCTGGCCCTGCCTCTTTACCAGTCGTTACTAGGCCCACTCTCTACCTGCTCCATCATACCTCTTTTTAAAGCTATGTGTGGATCCTGCCTCCACTGCATAACTCTCCAGACAATTCTGCTTCCTGACAACTCATTGTCTAAAGAAATACTCCCTAACATCCCTTTTACTTATATGAGTCTTCAACTTCCAACTGTGACCCCCTGTTGCTGTGTCCCATCTCTGGAACCTCCTGTCTCTGTCCACCTCGTCAGTTCCTCTCAGTATTTTATGTCGTTATCATGTCCTCCCTCTCTCTCTCCTGTCCTCCAGTGTCATCAGGTCGATTTCCCTTAACCTCTCCTCAAAAGACATACCCCTTAGCTCTGGGACTAGTCTCGTTGCAAACCATTGCACTTTCTATAATTTCTTTACGTGCTTGATCAGGTGTGGGTTCCAAACTGGTGCTGCATACTCCAACATGGCCCTGACGAGCACAGTTTTGAATGATTCCTTACTGAGGTGTTGGAAAGCTTTTCTTAGGACTGCCAGGAGCCCATATGCTGCACCCATTATTTGGTTGATGTGCACCTCAGGAAATGTACTTGGTATTATACTCACCAGAAGATCCTTTTACTTAACCTCTAAGGCTGTACTCCATTTGCGGTCTCCTTTGTCATTCCCCAAGCTTCATAATCCTTTGTCAGTCCCCAAGCTTTATAATCCTTTGTCATTCCCCAAGCTTCATAATCCTTTGTCAGTTCCCAAGCTTCATACCATTGCAAATACTGGTGTTAAACTCCAGGATAAATTAGTCAGACCAGGCTTGCAGCCTGTCCAGATCCCTTTCTAGGCTTACTTGTTTCTGAACCGCTTGTATTCTCCTCCGTAGCTTCATATTGTCTGCGAACAGGGATACCTCAGAGAATATCCCTTCCGTGATGTCGTTCACATATTCAAAAAACAGCACCGGACCCAGGACTGACTCCTTGTGGAACCTTACTGGACACATGCACCCTTTCTGATACCTTGTCTCTTATTAATTAACCTTTGAGGGTCCAAGAATTTTCAAAAAAAAAAATGTAATTTTTTCTTATGAAATGGTAGAGAATCTTTTTCTGATGGTAATATAACAAAAAGTACGAAATTTTATGGAAAACTAAAGACATTACACTATACCGAATTTTACTTTGTCAGCGACGTTTACGCATCCACAGTTTTGCCGAATTTGACTCCGATTTTAGGCAAATTACATTATTCCAGTTGGCCAAATTTTTAGCTATTTCGCTACTATTACTTCTTTTTTATCGACTGAGCACAGGAAACTGCCCAGTCACTTTTTTCAAGTAACCAATAATGTAATCAGAAATTGGTAATTTGGTCAATTTCATACAAAGTTCAAAATATTCCAATTTCAAAATAGGGTCCAGAATAAACAATGCAAACATTCCTGGGACTAAAATAACATTTCCTCTGTTTATTAGTTACGTTTTCAGGCTTTACAGATTAATTCCATTTTGATTTTTTATTTACATAAAGAATTTTTATTCACACCAAAATAAAAAATAGAAGATTTACTGTTATGCAATATTGTAATAATTGCATAAATAATATCAACACATTTGTGAACGTATCTTAAACCCACCAGCTGGTGTGTATTGGACACGTGACGTCATTTGTTTACTCTTGAACCTGGTGTGTATTTGACACGTGACGTCATTTGTTTATTCTTGAACATCAGCAAAAATCAAATATTTCCGCTAATTTAAGCTCAATTTGAAGGTATTTTCATTACTAATACCAATCAAAATCATCTCATTTTCTATAATATATCTTCCATTCTATTAATTGAGACTAAGAAACCGCGAATGCAACCTAGAAAAACACACGAAAATACACCGCAAGTCGGTGTTTTAATCCAAAAACACAGTCACAATTTTTTTCTCATTATGCACTGTGCACTTCAGGATTTGTTTTAAATGGTGCACTCTTACCACATAGATCCATTCTCTCATATCGAGGCCCAAATTTACCACTCACAGCTTATCTGAGTGAACTGAACTCATGATGTAGATCAACGCCTTGGACCCTCAAAGGGTTAACACACGTTTCATTCTTATCAGGTATTCCCTGATCCATTACAGTACTTTCCCTGTTATTCCTGAATGCTCCTCTAGCTTTTCAATCAGTGTCTTGTGTGGTACTGTGTTGAATGTCTTCTTACAGTCCAAGAAGATGTAATCACCCCATCCCTTTCTCTCTCCTAACTAACTTCTGTTACCTTGTCGTAGAACTAGAATAGGTTTGTGATGCAGGATTTCCCTTACCTGAACCATGCTGGTTGTCATGTACGAGCCATTGCCTTTCTAGGTGCTCCACCACTCTTCTCCTGATAATCTTCCCCATAACTTTACATACTATACATGTCAGTGACAGTGGTCTGTAATTTAGTGCAGCCTGTCTGTCTGCTTTCTTAAAAATTGGGACTACATTTGCTGTATACCACACCTCAGGCAGTTACCCAGTTTTGAAAGATTTATTGAAGATTGTTGTTAGTGGTACACACACAGTGCATCAGCTCCCTCTCTAAGGACCCAAGGAGAGATTTCATCTGGGCCCACCACCTTCGAGGTATCTAGTTTCCCTAGTAGTTTCTTCACCTCCTACTTGGTTGTGTGGCATATGTCCAGCACTTGCTGGTACCCCCTACCACCTCGGTTCGCTCGAAGTCTCTCTGTGTCCACTCTGAATACTTCCTTGAATCGTGAGCTGAGTTCGTCACATACTTCCTGGTCGTTCCCTGTGAGCTCCCCGCCTTACTTCCTCAGTCTGATTGCCTGGTCCTTGACTGTTGTTTTCCTCCTTATGTGACTGTATAATACCTTTGGGTCAGATTTGGCTTTTGATGCTTTGCCATTCTCATATTGAAGCTTGGCTTCTCTCCTCATCCATTCACATTCATTTTTGGCTCTTTGGTTCAACTCCCTGTTTTCCTTGGTCCTTTACCTTAAATGCCTTTTATATGCTCTAGAACACTTGACTATGGCCACTCCACACCTCTGGCACGAACTTCTCCACTGACTCCGTGCACTTTGATGCCAAGTGTTTCATCATTTCATTTACTGTCTTCCTCTCTAGCTCTCTTACCAACTGCACCTCATGTAGGAATTGTCTCATACCTGTGTAGACCCTTTTTTGGAAGTTTGTGAGTAAATTGTGAGTGTGTGAGTGTGTGTGTGTGTGTGTGTGTGTGTGTGTGTGTGTGTGTGTGTGTACTCACTTCCATGCCCCTGGTCGTAGCCCGGAGGGGGCCGGAGGGGAGACGCCCGGAATCGAGCACCCTCTGGTTGCAGGGGTCTACTCGTAGCTCCTGGCCCCGCCTCTTTGCTTATCGCTACTAGGTCCACTCCCTCCCGACTCCATGAGCTTTATCATACGTCTTCTTAAAGCTATGTATGGATGCTGCCTCCACTACTTCACTCTCTAGATTGTTCCACTTCCTGACAACTCTATGACTGAAGAAATACTTCGTAACATCTATATGACTCATCTGAGCTTTAAACTTCCTGTTGTGGCCCCTTATGCCTCTATCCCATCTTTGAAACATTCTTTTCCTGTCCACCTTGTTAATTCCTCAAAATATTTTATACATTGTTATCATGTCTTCCCTATCTCTCCTGTCTTACAGTATCGTCAGGATGAGTTCCCTTAACCTCTAGTCGTAGGACAAATCCCCTCAGCTCCAGGACTAGTCATGCTGCAAACTTTTGCACTTAATGAAATTTCTTGTCGTGTTTGACGAGGTGTGAGCTTCATACATAGCCCACTCTGGACCTGACGTACACGATGTACAGTGTTGTGAATGACTTAGATGTCGAAACGCTAATCTTAGGTTTGTCAAGCGCTTATATGCTGCAGAGGTTATTTGGTTGATGTGCCCCTCAAGAGATGTGCTCGGTATGATGCTCACCCCAACATCCTTTTCCATGAGTGAGTTTCACAGCCTTTGGCCTCCTAGGCTGTACTCTATCTCCATTCTTTTTGTCCTTCTCCCAGCTTCATGATTGTAATCTTGCCTGAATCTTGTCCTCTTGTGTGTGTGTGTGTTGAGTGTGTGTGTGTGTGTGTGTGTGTGTGTGTGTGTGTGTGTGTGTGTGTGTGTGTGTGTGTGTGTGTGTGTGTGTGTGTGTGTGTGTGTGTGTGTGTGTGTGATGTGTGTGTGTGTGTGTGTGAGTGTGTGTGTGTGTAGTGTGTGTGTGTACTCACCTATTTGTAATTGAGCAGGGTCGATTCATAGCTCCTGGCCCCTCCTCTTCGCTGATTGCTACTAGGTCCTCTCTCTCCCTGCCCCATGAGCTTTATCATACCTCGCCTTAAAACTATGTATGATTCCCGCCTCCACTAAATCACTTTCTAGGCTATTCCACGGCCTGACTACTCTATGACTGAAAAAATACTTCCTAAAATCCCTTTAATTCATCTGAGTCTTCAACTTCCAATTGTGACCTCTTGTGTGTGTGTGTGTGTGTGTGTGTGTGTGTGTGTGTGTGTGTGTGTGTGTTGTGTGTCGTTGTGTGTTGATGTGTAGTGTGTTGTATGTGTGTGTGTGGTGTGTGTTTGTGTGGTGTGTGTGTGCCTGGTGTGCTGGTGGGTGTGTGTGTGTGACGTGTAGTGTGACTTGCAGCGCTGTATGTGTGATGTGTGTTGTAGTGATGTTGCTGTGAGGTGTGTGTGTTCGTGTGTGTGAGCGTGTGTTGTGTCGACGCGTGTGTGTGTGTGTCGTTAGTGTAGTGTTTGTTGTGTTGTGTGATAGTGTGTTGTTGTGTGTGTGTGTGTGTGTGAGTGTTGTGTGTGTGTGTGTGTGTGTGTGGTGTGTGTGTGTGTGTGTGTCCAAATCATGCTTCCTACTTCAGCTCACAACACTGTTACTCTGTTATATCCGTGTCTCCAGGAGATTGGCATAACTTCAGCTGTGTGTGCTGACTGCACAGCAAGTAGTAGGGAGACTGATAAGATCCTTCCAACTGTCTACAGTATTACTTCTGCTAGCGACCCAGATGGCAATGGAGTATTAGAACACTCCCTCTACCCCAGCACCTGCCCAGAGGGGTGAGCTCTCACATGCTTACTTTATACTTTGTATATATCTCCAACTGCGATTTTGATATACGTATATATATATATATATATATATATATATATATATATATTATATATATATATATATATATATATATATATATATATATATATATATGTGTGTTGTGTGTGTGTGTGTGTGTGTGTGTGTGTGTGTGTGTGTGTGTGTGTGTGTGTGTGTGTGTGTAAGGATATGCATTTGTCAACCGGTTTTGTACACCGAGTGGTCAGTAACTCTCGGTGCATATACACCAAGAAGTATTTATACAGAGATGTGCGTGTCTCTCGGGGAATTTACACTGAGGTGCAAGAACTATTATCATGTATGTAGATAAACCACTGGTGCAATACTAATTTTGTTTAGTATTCCTGACAGTGTTGGAGGCAACAATATAATAAAAGCCAGACAGTGACGTTTACTAAGACTTTCTTCACTGATGTCTGACCTCATTAGACACCATACAGTGGTTGAGTGAATTATACTGGATGACGTAGACATTGTACTTGTCATCTCTATCACACTCATACTTAAGTTCTTTTACACATTATGGGCATTAGATGCGTTACCGCTTTAGATCCGGGGAAACTGGTGACTTTCTGATTGTAACTGTATGACTTGATGGCTACGGTGATGCTCCTGGCGAGTGTATTAGCTATGTTGTTCACATGTGATACGGCAGTAACCGTCTCAGCTGAGCGCTCATGTTTGTCCATATGAGAGATCCTTAGCGCTCACATGAAGAGTGAGGCCAGAAACTTCAGCTGATATTTGATGACTGTAGAAGCATTCCTCTACTGGGAAATTAAGGAAAAGATATTCTATATAATCTCGGGTAGATTTCCAGTGAGTATATCAGTAATGTGTTCGGTGGGGATTAATACTCTTTGGAGGACGTCATTACATTATTGGGTTCTTGATGTAGGCAGTATGTCTACGTTTGCCCTGGGGGCCAGCGAGGCCCTGAGACTGGCGTGGGAGAGAGGAGGGACTTCTTGTGTGTAGGTTTCTGAGTGAGAACAATGCAGGGTGTTGAGGAGTGAGCTTAAAGTAGACTAATAGCCACAAGGCGGCAGTACAGGTCTACAGGCACAGTTCTCCAAGCGATAGTCATGGGACACAGGTATGGGGCAGGCATACCCAGCTACATCGCTCGGGCACACTACCCATGGTCATACCCGACCATGTTAATTGACTGAATAATAATAATAATAATATCTTTATTTCTACCAGTACATGTACAAGGTATACAGACCATATCTGACATCCATGGCATACTACTATATAGAAAGCCGCTTGTTATGCTGAGCATTTCCCGCTAATTAGGTCAGTTTTATCCCAGGATGCGACCCACGCCATTCGACTAACACCCGGGTACTCATTTTACTGATGGGTGAACATAGACAACCGGTGTAAGGAAACACCCCCAATGTTTCAACCCTCCCCGGGAAATGAACCCAGACCCTCACAGTGTGAAGCGAGAGCTTTTGCCACCAGGTCACGGGCCACCTGCTCTCTCTCTCTCTCTCGCAGGAACAGTGCACAAGCACAAAATATAAAACACATTTATAATGGGGAAGTGGAGTAAGAATCTTTCCTCCGTAAGCCATGTGTATTGCAAAAATCAACTAAAATGCCAGGAACAATGGGCTAGTAACCCATTTTCCTGTAGTAATTACTAAAAAGAATAAGAAGAAAATTGTCAAAGTGGGAAGTTTGAATGTGCGTGGATGTTGTGCGAATGATAAGAAAGAGATAATTGTGGATGTTATGAATGACAAGAAGCTGGATATCCTGGCTTTAAGTGAAACAAAGCTGAAGGGGATGGGAGAGTTTCAGTGGAGAGGAATAAATGGGATTAGGTCAGGGGTTTCAAATAGAGTTAGAGCTAAAGAAGGAGTAGCAATAATGTTGAAGGATAAGCTATGGCAGGAAAAGAGGGACTATAAATGTATTAATTCAAGGATTATATGGAGTAAAATAAAGGTTGGATGTGAAAAGTGGGTTATAGTAAGCGTATATGCACCTGGAGAAGAGAGAAGTGTAGAGGAGAGAGAGAGATTTTGGGAAATGTTGAGTGAATGCGTGGGAAGTTTTGAACCAAGTGTGAGAGTACTTGTGGTTGGGGATTTCAATGCTAAAGTGGGTAAAAATGTTGTGGAGTGAGTAGTAGGTAAATTTGGGGTGCCAGGGGTAAATGTAAATGGAAAGCCTTTAATTGAGCTATGTGTAGAAAGAGGTTTGGTATTAAGTAATACATATTTTATGAAAATAAATATACAAGGTATGATATAGCATGTAATGAAAGTAGTTTGTTAGATTATGTATTGGTGGATAAAAGGCTGATGGGTAGGCTCCAGGATGTACACGTTTATAGAGAGGCAACTGATATATAGGATAATTATTTAGTTGTAGCTACAGTTAGAGTAAGAGGTAGATGGGACAAGAGGAAGGTGGCAACAACAAGTAAGAGGGAGGAGAAAGTGTATAAACTAAGGGAGGAGGAAAATTCAGGTGAGATATAACGACTATTGGCGAAGGTGGGATGTGCAAGTATGAGTAGTGGGGGGGTTGAAGAGAGTTGGAATAGTTTTAAAAATGCAGTATTAGAATGTGGGGCAGAAGTTTGTGGTTATAGGAGGGTGGGTGCTTGAGGAAAGAGGAGTGATTGGTGGAATGATGAAGTAATGGGTGTGATAAAAGAGTAAAAGTTAGCTTATGAGAGGTTTTTACAAAGCAGAAGTGTTATAAGAAGAGTAGAGTATATGGAGAGTAAAAGAAAGGTGAAGAGAGTGGTGAGAGAGTGTAAAAGGAGAGCAGATGATAGAGTGGGAGAGGCACTGTCAAGAAATTTTAATGAAAATAAGAAAAAAATTTGAAGTGAGATAAACAAGTTAAGAAAACCTAGAGAACATATGGATTTGTCAGTTAAAAACAGAGTAGGGGAGTTAGTAGATGGGGAGATGGAGGTTTTGGGTAGATGGCGGGAATATTTTGAGGAACTTTTAAATGTTGAGGAAGAAAGGGAGGCGGTAATTTCATGCACTAGCCAGAGAGGTATACTATCTTTTAGGTATGAAGAAGAGCAGGATGTGAGTGTGAGGGAGGTGCATGAGGCATTATGCAGAATGAAAGGGAGTAAAGCAGCTGAAACTGACGGGATCATGACAGAAATGTTAAAAGCAGGGGGGGATATAGTGTTGGAGTGGTTGGTATTTTTGTTTAATAAATGTATGAAAGAGGGGGAGGTACTTAGGGATTGGCGGAGAGCATGTATAGTCCCTTTATATAAAGGGAAGGGGGACAAAAGAGATTGTAAAAATTATAAAGGAATAAGTTTACTGAGTATACCAGGAAAAGTGTACGGTAGGGTTATTATTGAAATAATTAGATGTAAGACAATGTAGGATTACGGATGAGCAAGGAGGTTTCAGAGTGGGTAGGGGATGTGTAGATCAAGTGTTTATATTGAACCATATATGTGAACAGTATTTAGATAAAGGTAGGGAAGTTTTTATTGCATTTATGGATTTAGAAAAGGCATATGATAGAGTGGATAGGGGAGCAATGTGGCAGATGTTGCAAGTATATGGAATAGGTGGTAAGTCATTAAATGCTTTAAAGAGTTTTTATGAGGATAGTGAGGCTCAGATTAGGGTGTGTAGAAGAGAAGGAGACTACTTCCCGGGTAGAATAGGTCTTAGATAGGGATGTGTAATGTCACCATGGTTGTTTAATATATTTATAGACGGGGTTGTAAAAGAAGTAAATGCTAGGGTGTTCGGGAGAGGGGTGGGATTAAATTATGGGAGTTTGCGTGTCAGCGGATGGATTTATGAAGGATGAGGTTAATCATTGAATTGATGAAGGAAAAAAAGACGAGTGGTGCATTGAGGTATATGTGGAGACAAAAAACGTTATCTATGGAGGCAAAGAAGGGAATGTATGAAAGTATAATGGTACCAACACTCTTATATGGGTGTGAAGCTTGGGTGGTAAATGCAGCAGCAAGGAGACGGTTGGAGGCAGTGGAGATGTCCTGTCTAAGGGCAATGTGTGGTGTAAATATTATGCAGAAAATTCGGAGAGTGGAAATTGGGAGAAGGTGTGGAGTTAATAAAAGTATTAGTCAGATGGCTGAAGAGGGGTTGTTGAGGTGGTTTGGTCATTTAGAGAGAATGGATCAAAGTAACGAAACGGAGAGCGTATAAATATGTAGGGGACGGAAGGCGGGGTAGGGGTAGTCCTCGTAATGGTTGGAGGGAGGGGGTAGAGGTGGTTTTGTGGGCAAGGGGTTTGGACTTCCAGCAAGCGTGCATGAGCGTTTCAAATAGGAGTGAATGGAGACGAATGGTACTTGGGACCTGACGAGCTGTTGGAGTGTGAGCAGGGTAATATTTAGTGAAGGGATTCAAGGAAACTGGTTATTTTTATATAGCCGGACTTGTCCTGGAAATGGGAAGTACAATGCCTGCACTTTAAAGGAGGGGTTTGGGATATTGGCAGTTTGGAGGGATATATTGTGTATCTTTATATGTATATGCTTCTAAACTGTTGTATTCTGAGCACCTCTGCAAAAACAGTGATTATGTGTGAGTGAGGTGAAAATGTTGAATGATGATGAAAGTATTTTCTTTTTGGGGATTTTCTTTCTTTTTAGGTCACCCTGCCTCGGTGTGAGACGACCGACTTGTTAAAAAAAAATATATAATGGACAAAAACTTCCTATGGGGAGGGAAGAAAAACAAGGGGTTGTGCCAAAAACATCATGTGTCAACATAGTGAGCCTCGGTGGGCGTCACTGCACGCCTTCCTGGATCTGGATAGATACTGCAACACATCAGTACACATCACTGCTGGTTGAGCTATATAACCGGGTACAGTCTCGTCTGCGATGGTAAAGCAGTCATCGTGCTGGGTTCACTCAACTTGGAGCACAACTTGCTGGTGCCCTCGAGTGAGGCATCGTCAG